AATTTTCTTTTCAAAATGTGGATGAAACGTTTTGCTTTTTATGTATTTGTTATGTATTGTTTTTGATTTGATAACTTTGAACTAAACAGATTTTCTATTAGCTTCAGATCTTGATCAAAGTTTGGCACCCATAGGAGTGCTTATATTGATTTTCTGACATCTTGTTTTCTGTAAAGATTTTATTGGTAGGTTCGCAAATGTGTATCAGACTCTGCAATCTCTCCATGAGTTGGTTTTGAAACCCAGAATAGTATTCACGTGGGATTTGGGGGGATACATTACCAAGGATATTATCACAAGATAAATGATACAAGGGTATTCAGATGCAATATTCCCGTGTAAAAAAACAACATTTCGTTGTGACCTGTGAAATAAATAAATTCGAGTTCAAAATCAAATCGTTTGATTTTTGCGACAGACGTTCGGCGCGCGTCTTTCACACAACTTGTGAGATCGCCCAGTTGAACGGCTTTGTCACTGATTCATCATGAAAGACAGCCATCTAGATATGTCAAGTATTATAAAAAACAATATAATAACCCACCGTGTTTGTTTTTGTCTATAAATGCAGGCATCGGTCGATAACGATGAACATCATTCTGTAGATAGAAAATAAAGAATTATTAATCATATCTTATTGTTGTTTGTATTCAATATATATGAATGAATTTTTCTTTGTTTGTACAGTGTTAAAAATTGTTGATTTTCTTTGAAAAATGTGAATATAACAACTCTCTTTCATCTGTTTACATTTTGTGATGTAATGTATATACTGGTAGATGAAGTTACATTAGGATTAGGATTAGGATAACACCCCTCTTACCTTGCTCTGACTTGTCTGGAGTGGGTTTATACAGGATGAGCTGGTAGGGGTGCAGACAGGTGAGCTAACTGGTGAAACATCAGACACTCCACTATCGGGAGTTGGTGGTCTTGTATCTTAAAATATAATAAATGTATATCGGTATGTATTAAAAATAACTTCTTTGTATGTAGGTTCTGAAAAGTTAATATAGTTAGTGATTTATTAGAATGTATCCAGATCAGTTCAGATATCCAGATATAACCACAAAATCACTAAGATAAAAGATGATTACATATACTGGTATATTGACAGCAGTTTTGAGAATTTTTCAGTCAGTGTGTCGGTGATATGTATTGCAAGTTTGCAAAACACTCGACCCGACAGCGTCGTTTGACAAAAGACAAGATGTACAAGCATTTAAACATTTTGTTCTGTTAACAATAGTTAATTTAGTATATTTATGTCTTAAATATTTATCTGTATTCTACATAAAAGCAAGTCTCACATCACGATGCACAATTCTTTTTTTTCAAAATCAAAACAAATTTAATACAAACTCAGCAGCCACATGCATTGCAATGTAGCTGCCTAAATATGTGTGAAAATTATTGCATGGCCAGATTTCTCTCAGCATTAAGGAATATAAGGTAAAATGTCATATTTGGAACTGGGATATTGTTTTGGCTTAAAACTATCTGATATAAATATACACATACTTACACATTCGAAACTTTTCACTTGATGGGGTGTTTCGCAAAGATGCTTCTTTATATTGACTGCCATTGTTTATCCATGTTTGAACTTGGTGTGACTTAGGAATGGGTAGCTGGCATTTCAATGGTATGGCATTTGAAGAAATTGGATTACAAGACAAGTCTGAAAGTTTGGAAATAATTTAAGGTTAATCATTAAACAAATAAGTTAAACTAGTCTTTATTATAACATGGTTACCACGGTAGCCTGAATGTTATTATAATGCAAATTTTGCACTCCCTGTGAGAACTTGCATGTTCATTGCAGTATATCGTTTGAATTGAATATGTGATGTTATTGTCGCATCTATCGCTAATCGCCAGGCTTGTTGGCTGTTTCAGAAAATGCAAAGAATCACAACTAAAAACATCAGTATGGTGAGTATAATCATTGGTTTGTTGAAAAATACTCAAAATTTTGGCGATTTTGTCCCATCTTTGCATTTGTTTCTATTCTAGCCCTGGAATTTGAATAAAAATCAAAGAAAGCTTAGAAAGAACTCCCATGTGCTGAGAGTATTGGAGACACATTAAATATAATTCGAAATTACTTAGCTGAAAACTAATTATGCAAATCAGAAAATTAATATGACCAGATTTGAGTGTAAAACTAATGAGGTCTGCGCAATGTAACAGAAAATCTATGTCTCTAAGTTTAATTGAAATGTGATTATAACCAAAAAATTATGAATTATTATGCTTATTAGGGAATTAACATGAACAGA